AACAAAATTCTTAATTCTCCCAAATTGCGACTTTTCACAATTTTCCAAGTTATGAAAGATTAAGTTCAAAGCAAATTTTCAACTCAGCTCGGTTTTTGAGCAATTGCAAGTTGGGGATTCTTAGCATTCCGTTAAGTAGCACGAAATGTTGAATTAATTTCGCTGAATATGCTAAAATTTAGATTCGGTTTGGGTAAATGAAATGCGTTGGTGGAAGGCTGTTTACAGAAATGGTGACGTTTTAACTGTAGGTTTATAATATCTAAATTTAGAAAAAAATTAACAGCAAAGTAATTAACTTGATCAACTTTTGAAACGAAAAAAAAACCTAGTTAAACTTTAAAGTGCAGAATATTTCGCAGACATCAAAGCACTTTGTAATTTATGTTTCAACGCGTAGAAGCTTAGTTATAATAGCTWAAACTAACTAGTTTTTGTTATATGCCGCAACTACTTTAAATAAATACTTGACTTATTAAAACAATTGAATTTGAATTTTTTAAAAAACGTTCCGAAATTATCTCAGATGATAAATTTTCGATCGAAAAAGCACTCATCTTAAAACCCTTTAACAAAATCCAACAAGCTTTAAGACTAGAAGCTATTAATTTAATTTAAGCACACCAAGCAACCGTTTATTAATGTAAAATTGTAAATTAATTATCACCTCCGAACAATTTCTATCTGAAACTTTCCAGAGCTGTGTGTAATTAAAACGAAGCTTTTTAGTTGATTTTGAGCTTTCAAAGATCGCCTGAAATTTAGATCAAGAAACACATATTCGCGAAAAATGCGTTCAGTTTGCACATTAATAACAAAGAACTTGCTCTCCACCTTTCTTAATAATTTTCCGCACCGTAACTCTGATTGGCTGATAAATCTCGCCCAACACCTTGCGGGATTCGAATAACGAAGAGCAAGTGTTCATGTAAATTTTCTCTGGATCCAATTCCCGTGAGAGATTGGCGGAATGGGGCGAAGACAAATAGTTGAGGTGAAAGAGGATCGATCAGAGACCTAAGACTGGGCAGTCCAACCTTTTTTTCCCCACAACCTGAAGCAATTCCACCGTGCAAATCCCCCAATTAAACCATGTAGAGATAGGCAAATGCGCTGTAATGGATTTTTTCCGGTCTTAGTTTGCATGCAGTGACAGGAAATGCGACGGAGTTGTTTTTCTAGAATCAGTAATGCGTGTAAAATGTTCCGGTGGAGCTCCGGGCGGCGGACTTTGATGTTATTGCTGAATTTTTGCCGTTCCGGATTTGCATCTGACCGGAATTGAAAAAACTAAGTTCTATTTTTGAGGAAAAGCGTGAAATATTTTAGCAGTTTTTGACTAAAAACTTAAATTTATCACTGAAATAATCGTATATAGCGCCCCAGGAGGTCGCTAAAAAAATAGAACAACTTTCCAGCGGCGATTTATAACAATTTCAACTCCAGTTCGGCATTTTGTTGCTTTTATTTCTTTGCGCGTTTGGTTATTTAGCTTCGTTTGTGTGTATTGAACACGGAATTAAATTTTTTTTAGTAAAATTTCAAATTCCATTTCGTGTGTTTTCGACCACATCGAAGTAAAAAGCACACTTAGAAAATTATAATTTCTACTCCGATACATTTTTGTAATAAAATTTTCGTTAACATATTGTTTTTGTTATATGTTATTTATTTTAAAATGTTGAATTAAAATAACACAATAAATGTTATTTTGTAAAGTGTAGAGAAAAAAAATCATGTCAGGTCAAATCAATTTAGAAAAAAATTGCGTAATATATTTAAAATGAGTTGTTTTCATTTCTCAGTTTTAAACATTCTCACTTTTCAACTTCTTCTTGAATTTATTTTATTTTTTTAACTTCTTTCGAACTTATGATAATTTTGCATTTTTCTCGATTTTTTCTTTCTTCTTGTTTTTTTTTCTTTCTTCTTCTTTCTTAGACAAATTCCCAAAAATTGTTACCGATACTAAATTTCTTCCCTTTTTTGTGGTTTTCTTTAGAAATTTTCTTAGACGCATTTTTGTCAATATTTAGTCATAATGAATCAAAAACCGGACTTTAAAAAATTAGTTTACGAAACGATTATTGGAATCTGTTTTTATAAAAAATTACAAAGTCATAATGTTGGCGAGATAATTAATTTATAGCCACAAATTTCGTTATTTGTTAGGTATTTATTTTGGGATGTTGAAAAAAAATTAAAATGTTATTCTGTAAAATGTAGAAAAGACAAGCAGATATTATAAAATAAAAAAAACAATTTGTTTTGATAGTCCGGTCAAAATAGACATTTCCTACTAAAATAAATAGTCAAAGTGCAAAATTTAAACTCTCATAGATAATTTTAAGATCTATAATTTTTGTCTGGACTACTTTTTTGATAAAACTTACCGTTTTCGAAAAAAATCTAAAAAACCTCAAATTTTGACCTTTGACCCCGGATAACTTTTTTAGCATACATGGGATCGATGGGGACTTTTGACACCCAAATTTAGCTCTGTCGGAATTTTCGTTATTTGACCACTATTTTTATGACTAATTTGACCGGACTATGAAATCTTTTTATTGAAACTTTTTCAACATCTTTTTTTAATTTTTTTCTTTTACTTTTTTCTAACTCAAGATTGTTGCATTTTCTTCAAATTCATCACTTTTTTGAACAAATTCGCGGTAAATGTTGAAAAAAATTATAAAAAATGTTATTTTGTAAAGTGCAGAGGATAAAATCAGGTCTGTTCAGATTAATTTAGAAAAAAATTGCGTAACATATTCTTTTTTTTTCATTTCCCAGCTTCAAAATTGTCACTTTTCAACTTCTTGAATTTATTTTATTTTTTTACCTTCTTTCGAACTTATGATTATTTTGCATTTTTTTCGTTTTTTTCCACTTTCTTACACAAATTTCCAAGAATTGTTAGCGGTATTAAATTTATTTCCGTTTTTGTGGTTTCGTTTCTAAATTTTCTTTGATGTATTTTTGTAAAAGGTTAGTCAAAATGAGTCAAAAACCACTTTTTTTAAACTAGTAAAACGATTATAAGAGAATGAGTCTGTTTTTATAAAAAATTACAAAGTCAAAATGTTGGTGCGAAAATTAATCTACATCCACGAATTTCGTTATTTGTTAAGTATATATTTTGGAATGTTAAAAAAAATAATTTAGAAAATGTATTCTGTAGAGTGTAGAAAACAAGCAGGTTTCATTTGCAATTTGCAATTTGAAAAAATATTTAATTCATTTAATTGATTTATTTATTTATTTATTTTATTTTTATTATTTAAATAAAATCAAACTTTTTCAGCTTTCCTTTAAAAATCGACACTTTTTCAACTTCTTCCTGATTTTTTTTATTATATACTTCTTTACTAATTCTTGATTATTTTGCATTTCCCTYAAATTTTTCACTTTTTGAACAAATTTCCAAGAACTGTTAGCGGTACTGAATTTATTTCCGTTTTTGTGGTTTCCTAAACGCATTTTTGTGAAAGTTTATGTAATGATCATTTTACCCATCAAAATGAATCACAAACCTAAATAGTAACCCTTTTTAAAAATTTATGTTTTACTAAAACTTTAAATCAAATGGAGCAAGTTCTGTTGACCGGAAAGAAAAAACTAAGTTCTATTTTGATACAAAGCGTGAAATATTTCATCAGTTTTTGACTAAAAACTTAAATTTATCACTTAAATAATCGTATATAGCGCCCCAGGAGGTCGCTAAAAAACCAGAACAACTTTCCAGCGGCAATTTATAACAATTTCAACTCCAGTTCGGCATTTTGTTGCTCTTATTTCTTTGTGTACTGAACACGAAATTAAATTTTTTTAAATAAATTTCGAAATCAATTCCGTGTGTTTTCGGCCACATCGAAGTAAAAAGCACACTTGGGAAATTATGACTTCCACTACAATAAATTTCCAAGGAGAGAGAATCATGAATTTTCGTTAACATATAGGGCTGCCTTCCATTGAATAATTCGTCGAGTGATACTTTCGTTGTTGTAATTACCAAGAGACGTAAGCTTTCCAAATGGAAAACTCGCACAGTCTTTAAGAAGCTTACTCTATCATGAAGGAAAGCGAAAAGGGATTAAACATTTCAGGTGGCTGGGGTGGAAGAAACCCTAATCCATACTAAATACACTAATTATGCTCCCTCAACACGTTAAGGAAATCGAAATGTGGAAGCTGATATGTATGCAAAGTGAAAAGGGGGCGCAACTTGACGCAAAAAGTTGTGTTCAGTTACAGCTTCCCACAATTGCATAAAACACAATTAAAGCATTGAGATTTATTTTATGACCATAATAAAAATAATGATGCTTTGGTCTGGAAACCACAAACGCATCGACATATTGCACCAGTAACCAGTGTTTCCCTTTTGCATGTAAATCGCACCGCCTGCAGCAACTAATCTAAAGCGAAAAAAGCTTCCACCATAATAAGAAAAAGAGAAAAATACGTTTTGTGATGCAAGTGTTATTGATACCGACCTAATTTCCACCGTAGTAATAGAAATGGTAAAAAAATAGTAGAGTGGTTGTAAGACAAAGAACTTGACACTCATTTACGTTTAATTGTGTTGGAAAGTTTCATAACTCGTTACAGCAAGTTAAATTGTCTCAGTGCTAAGAACGAGCCATCTAGATTAAAACGTCATGAAATATCTTTTATCGCTGTTTCCGATGCTGAAAATTGCATTGGGGTGGATGGCGAACTTGTCCACATTTCTTATTAACTCAACTCGAAACAACTTGTTTCAAAACTCTCATGTATGAGATATTCGGTCTCAGTGGTTGTGTATTTTGTCACAACCTTAAATTAATTTATTATTTAGAGGCGTGTGGTGTAAACGGCGTGTAAGTGAAAGCGCAGGCGGCGCACCTGCAGCTCCGGAAAGCTTTTATGTAGTTTCCTTTTATAATATTATTTACGAGAGTTTTCTTGTAATGGAGGGTTGGAATGCGATTTTGCGATTAAAATCATCYCCTACTTACCGTTTAACACGTGAACGATTAGCGTCTTAGGGTTGGCGTTCGAGGGGTTGCATGTGTACTTCCCCGAGTCGGAATCCTTGGCCCTCTGGACCAGCAAGTAGCTGAATGTGATGTCGCCCTTTTCGGTGATCACGCTGACGCCGCCTCGGGGAGAGTCGTAATTGATTTCCTGGAAAGAAAAGAGGACATGGTTAATGAAATGAAAGCAGAGTTTTAATTCAAGAAACATAAAATCTAAAATAAGTTTACTGAAAACAATTTTTCTGTTTATACAAAAAAAAAATAAAGTTGCGTCATTAATTTACATTTTTTCAGCTTGAACAAGCGAAAACGCAATTTTTCTGTTTACCACTTAAGCGGGAAGCGTTCCCGTGGAAAATGTTGTGTCATTTGAAATTTATTTAAAATTCCGTCTTGTATTTTCCTTACAAAAACAACTTTTTCAGCCTGGAATAATGCCATTCTTATTAACCAAATAAAAATTCCGAGTCGTTCCGGATTTTTCCGGATGCGTAAACAGCCTCATTAGAAGAGGATAACTTTTCAAGATATGTTGACATAATCGGGCAATTGTTTGTGATTGACAAATTTGCTTCAAGGCTAAACAATCAGGCGAAAGCCCCAGAACATACTGTTTGCCAATTAATTGATTAATCAATCAGTTAAGCGAATCACACGAGCAATATATCGGATTTCGCCATTACAACAATCAAATAACTTGTGTTTTGAACCATTAAAAAAAAATAATTGTACTAATCCAAAATAAATTAACCGAAAAATTTTTCCGACTCTTGTCCTCGTTTCACAAGAATCTAATTCGGACAAAATTCCACTTTATCATGTCGAGAATTTCAATTTTTCGACAGTCTCGTTCTTTCCTGTTTACAACTTGCATACCTACCTCCTGTGCAAAAATTCCACAGTCGAAATGAAATTATTTTAACGTTCCGAGACATGTAAGTGGTCATTTTTTGAATGAAATTTTCAATAAATGAAACAAGAAACGAAATTTTTGCAGATTACGAGCAAATATTTTAACCACTAAAACGATTTGTTATGAAATAGCATACAGGGTGATTTTTTTAGGGCCTTTTTAAGCCTACGTGATTAACTATAAAAATAAAAAACAAAAACATGCTTTTCGTGATTATTTCAAAAACTGTAATAGATCATGTTAATAAAACTCCTTCTACAAATTGATATACTTTTGACTGCGGTTGAGAAAATAGAGTCATTTTATTTGAAAAAACTGAGTTATAGCTGTTTGTTAATTATTATTTAAAAAAAATCATACTAGCCTTGCAATTTGACAGTTAACAATTCTAGAAAACTCTTTGAACTTTTAGTTATCAGAAACAAATAAAATTATTTACTTATCGCAAAGGGTTCAAGAACTGTGATATTTTGAATGAACCCCTGCAAATAAAAATTTTGACTAAAAAATTGACATATGTCAAAAACTTTGACAAATAAGTACTAACAACTAGGTATATTTCTTTCAGTTTGAAGAAGAGATTTCAAAAATGCAATAAAAATAAGTGGTTACTATTTAAAATTTCAAAGTTGGCGCTAATTTCTCGTGGCTCCGGATGTTCAGCCATTTTGAAAATAATTTAGTTGAACTCAGACTGGTCGATTTGAGTTGTGTACAAAATTTCAATTCCCTATCTGCATTAAAAGTTAAAAAGTTTCTAACGTAGACCATAAAAGAATCATCCTGTATATAAGAACGCGTTTCGTAAGGCAAATTTGGGAAAGGTCTTATTTTGCACGTTTTACGTACAAGTCAATTTTTTAAAATTTAAGATCTTTTGCCCTAATAAGGTGATGGTTGGTAATAAACATCACAAAGTAAAAAATTCGATTTTCGAAGTGTTAAGTCTCAAATATTTTTCAAAATTTTGTTGAATTAACAACGAATACTGCAAATATTTCGTGCACACCACCTGTAACAAGAGAAATAGCTTAAAACTCTGCTGAAAATCACCATTACCAACCTCTAGAAAGTAAATTGTACTAGACTATTTCAGCACTCAAATTRGTGTTGAAATGGCTCATTAAATCATCGGTTTTGGTATCAAAACCAGCTTCCTTTCAGAAAAGGTCAATATGAAGACTAAACAAATATTGTATCCAATTTTTTTTGCATGTTTTCCCATGATTTTCACAAGTCATTCAGTGTGTCTGTTTTTGTTAAATGATCAATTAAAATAATTTGCATTGAATGTTGATCGTGAAAGATTTTATGCACAAAAAAGGGATAAGTTTGTGCATAAAAAAATTATTACACGTGTCAGTTTAACAGTTGTAAACGAGTTTTTGTTTTTTAACTCAAAAATGATGTTTTCTGTAAATGTTGAAAAGTGGTTTCTTTCGCAAACCCCTGTATTAAGATTTTAGGAAACCCTTTTTTGCTTGTTTTAATTTCGTTTCTGTGCGAGTTTCTTTCTTATCTTCTGGCTGTTATTTATTCGTCAATTAGCCGGGAAGACGTCGAAAATTGCCATTGTGACGCTGGAGCATATTTGGGGATCGGGGGTAAGTCCAGGGGGTGGTTTTATCTTACATTGTTGAGAGGCAATCCATATCTATGATTAATAGCATCTTGCAACATGAAACGGTGCTTTACATCTCACTGGGGACGAGCTGATATTTTACATCGCTGATAAAGTGTTACTTTCGTCGTTTTCTTTCCGTTTACTTCTTCACCAAAATTTTTCAAGAAATACACTAAACACCTTAACTCGACACAATCTCGGCGCTAATTATGCAGGAAGCAGCTCGAAAATTGATCGTTTTTTAGTCGAGGCGAAAAGAGAGATAAAGGCAAAAATGGGAGGCGAGATTGTTACATTTTATACATTTTTCAAGATAAAACAGCAGATTGTTTCTGTATTAAACACATTTATGGAATATTGGTCGTAGTTTTCTGTAAATACACTTCTGCTCTCGTAAAATTGCAACTGTTAGCTCCTTTGTTACGTTGAAAAGTTTGCAAACTAGATTGTCTTTTAATCGCGTTTCTTTGGCGAGTCATAAAACCATTTTCTGCTTCATGCAAGGAGCTTTATGCATTTCTCTAATTTGCAAGTCCTTACCTCGCAAATTTAACCGCGCTGTGAAGTTTGTAAAACACAAATAATTTGTAAAAGAGTTAAATTAATTCATTGTCAAAAATTAACGCTGCCTTATCTTAATGCCATTTCACTATTATACAGTCACGCAGCTTGTAAAACACGATAATATATTTTCTATTGACACGCTTAGTGGCACTTTTTTAATCAAAATAGCCAGTGATTAAATTGGCAACAGTCTATAGGTTGCCAACTTAATTGTACCACAGCCCACTTTGCCACTTCAGTTTAATTTGCAAAACGCTACTTTATCATTTCAAGCTCCCAGCTTTGTCATCAATTACCCGCCACAAGGGTGGGTTTAAGTCTCGTATGACGGTAGATCGACGTTGAAAAATTAAAGTGACAGTTGTAATCCATCTTGAAAAAGTGTGACAGGAATTGTAAAGTAATCGCCCCCATTGAGCTGCTATTCCATTATTTATCTTTTTTTTTCTAATTCACTTATCCCTCTGGACGCTTTTTATGTGGATGAATGCTTGTTGTGTAAATAAAGTGACGTAAAATGACAGCTTTCCAATAAAATTTGTTGCCACGATGAAAATCATCTGTGAAATTACGACAAGGAAGAAAAATCGACGATGCCGGTTCTGTATTATCGACGCGGTCTGTTTCGTTCGAGATTAGATCGTTAAAAATTGGGAATTTCGTCTCGACTTGTGCATTTGACAGTTATTTAAGTTGGCAGTATCGAGCCTTGGTGATTGATCGTCTCAAAGCCAGGTTAAAAATCACCAAAGATCTGTCAAAAAACTAACACCCACTCAGCGCCCACGTTGTTCAGACGAATTTAGGAAAAATAAATTAGTTTGAAACCAAAAGGTTTGAATTACCTCCGAGTTGTGCGTCCAGTAGATCGTGGGCGGCGGCTCCGGGCTGTGCTTCACTATACAGGTCAGATTCATTGTGCTGCCCTTGTTGATGTACATTTCCGGACCGCCGAGGAGGGTCGTAATGGGCTCTGGAACAAAAGCCTTACATGCACATGTGTACAAACAGGACGCGTTGGAAGATTATGTTACCGGCAGGGGACTACCATCCGCTTTTATCTCATTTCATTTATCAGAAGGTCCCAGTCATCAAGTAAGTGTAAAATGACGAGACGAAATGCAGGAAGACCCGTTTGAGGGCTGATAAATTGACTAAATCTATCACTTTTATCAAAGTCTGAATTTAATGTAACGACTTTTATTCACAATCACTATAGTCAAATGACGATTCATAACCCTTTGGAGGTCGGGAAATTTGTCATTACGTCCCGTGGTCGGAAAATAATTTATGAAGCATGCTATGAATAGCATGTCATTGCACCAACTTTAACAGAAAAATAGATGTTTAATTACACATTTTCCATCTTGCATGTAATCTACTATTACCATTATTTAATAAAATAGTATACAAGCCTCCAAGTAATGACACATTTTCCAACTGCATGTTATCTACTATTATATTGTTACTACATGTTACTACTATATGTTCACTCATTCTTCTGAAACCAACAAAGAAGATATCTAAGGATATCTCAATAAAACAATTTATTCAAAAAACCGACAATTTCTTATAATTTTGAAAAAAAATTAAAAAATTAGAATTTTTTTATCGAACTAAAAAGGTTTTTGCTTTCCTAATAAGTGTTTTAGGGCAAAATTACAAGAGTTTAATTTTGGCTTTATAGACTTGAAAATGTGCTTAAATCGTGAAAAAATGAAAAATTTTGAAGTTTTTTATGGGACAAAAAAAGTTTTTGCTCGTAGAGACTTCAAGATGGGCATAAAACGTTGAGTTGAGTTTGAAAAAGCAAGTTTTTTGAAAACAACTGAAACACAGGGTGTACAAAACTCGCGCCCCAGAGAAGTAAGATAAGATACCAGGAATATGGAAAAAGTGTTCTGACAAAAAAAAATTACATTTATTTTTTGACATTTGTAAATGATACTGATGATCTTGTATACATGGTGTGTTGGAACTCGCGCCTCAGAGAAAAATTTCAAGTAAGATAAGATACCAAAAGCATAGAACAAATGTTTAAAAAATTCTTTTTGTCAAGAAAATTTGATATTTATTTTTTTGACATTTGGCATTTTTTATGACTATTTAATGATACTGATGATCTTGTATACAGGGTGTGTCAAAACTCGCTCCTCAGAGAAAAATTTTAACTTAGATAAGATACCAGAACCATGAAAAAAAAATTTGACATTTATTTTTTGATATTTGACATTTTTTATGTACCGTGCAATCAAATAAAAAATAAATTAGAGTAGGCGTCGATTAAATTCTACAGTTGGCAACACATTGGCTGGGAATCTGAGCTGGAAATTTTCCACACAAACTGAAAGTGAAAATGACCATCCACCGTTTTCTTCTTGTACAGCAATAAAAATTTTCTGCTCTAAAGTGAACATTATTTCACTCAAAAGGAATAAAACTCAAACTTGTCAAAGTTTGATGTCAAAAATCAGGATTGCCATCTGAAGGACTTTAATCACCGCTTACTCTAATTTTTTTTTTTGATTGCACGGTATATTTAATGATACTGATGATCTTGTATGTTTTTTAATTATTTAGTAAAGGTACAAAAATTTTGCCAATAAAAGCCACAAATAACGTTAAACAAAGTTACAATTTACGATACAGCTTCCTTGTTTTCTCTTCTAGTAGCCTGTAGCAAAAAACTTCCAAAAGAAATAAGTAGACAAAGTGCAGAATTTAAGCTGTCATAATTTCGAAACTTTTATAGATAGAATTTTTTTTTATTTTTTTCTCTGGCGCACTCTGTATAAATTTTTAGACGCAAAGTCGCGCAGTTTGGTCAAATTTCGATTTACACATTAATTGCCCCAAAACAATAATTTACATTCGTCCCAAACCAATTTGCAGCCCGACAGGCCACATCACGAAAAAATTGAAAACATAATTAAAATTTTCATTACAAGCCAAAAGTCAAATGAATTTTATCGATTTCGAAAACTATTAAACGGCCATTGGGAACTACAGCTAAAAAAGTGTTGAAAGAAGTAAATATTTGCCAGGAGTCGTTTAAACAAACTGAAGGCGTCGAAGAGAAAACCTCGAAACAAACACAAAACCGAGTCGATAGTGCAGCGAAAAAACCGCCAAATGCGGGAATAATAATTAAGCCGAATTGCAGATTACACCGAACTCCGAATAGATTATCTTCAAAGCTCGAGTAATTAATGGTTAATTCCGGGCTATTTCTATCGAGTCGCCCAACTTCCGGAGTGGAATTAAATTACGACATCAGGTGAAAAGGTTACAACATGCACTTCCTGTTGCATGGTGGATGCGCCGGGTCAAGCTGGCCAAGATTACATTGTTCCAAACTATAGTATAAAACTAACAAGTTTTAGTCACCAAAAGTCACTAATTACAATTTCGCTTAAATTATTCTCTTTCGTCAAAAAAACAAACTAGTCATAATTAACTTTAACAGTGACATGACAGCAGTATCTTGCTATGACGTGTTAATTAAGCCGATTTTTCATGCCGGAAACGGGTTTTTAAATTTTTTATCAAGAGCTGAGCAGTGCCGAAAATATATTTGGGTTTCTAATTGATATTTGAAATTATTGTTTTTTAATATGATTTTAAACCCGAAAAAAAAATGGAAAAATAGTTTGTTTTTTGTTGTTCAGTCAACAAAGTAAAGAGAAAACTATTTGCTGCAACTGCTTTTTATAAACAAATTTTAATTATTATTGTTTATTGTTATAAATATGTGAATGATGTTTTAGATTCAATATCATTTTGGAAATTATACTAATTATTGTATTTTATCTACCAAATGTTTAATTGCTGGAAAACAAAGAGATTATTCATTAAAT